TTCCTTCCTTCCTTCCTTCCTTCCTTCCTTCCTTCCTTCCTTCCTTTCTTTCTTTCTTTCTTGAAAAAATTTCTGCCTCCTCCTTGCCTCCCAGTTTCCTCCCCCTCCCCCCAATCCTTTGCCCCTCTCCCTACTTCTCTCCCCCTCCCCCTACTCCATTCCCTCTCCCGTCTGAAGAGCAGTCTGGATTCCCTGTCCTGTGGGAAATCCAAGGTCCTCCCCCCTCCATCCAGGTCCAGGAAGGTGAGCATCCAAACAGGCTAGGCTCCAACAAAGCCAGTTCATACAGTAGGATCAAAACCCAGTGCCATTGCCCTTGGCTACGCATCAGCCCTCATTGTCCACCATATTCAGAGAGTCCGGTTTTATCCCATGCTTTTTTAGTCCCAGTCCAGCTGGCCTTGGTGAGCTCCCATTAGATCAGCCCCACCGTCTCAATGGGTGGGCATACCCCTTATGGTCCTAACTGGATGATGGATCATGTGATCAAACCAGACTCCCTGAACATGGCTGACAAGGAGGGCTGACTGAGAAACCAAGGACAATGGCACTGGGTTTTGATCCTACTGCATGTACTGACTTTGTGGGAGCCTAGTCTGTTTGGATGCTCACCTTCCTAGTACTGCATTGTTGAGGGAACTCCAGGCTGTGTTCCTGCCACCAGCTCCCAGCTGCCTGGCTAGCTTATGCCCCAATATAACAACACACAAATTGTACTCTTTTAAACACGGCTTGGCCCATTATATCTAGCCTCTTTTCTGCTAACTCTCACACCTGGAATAGCCCATTTCTAATAATGTGTATAGCACCCCAAGGTGCATTTACCGGGAAGATTCTAGCCTATGTCCATCCTGGGTCGGAGCTTCATTGCATCTGCCCCAGAGAGGAGAGCTATCGAGTCTGAGCTCACTTTCTCTTCCTCCCAGAATTCTTTTCTGTTTACTCTACCCACCTATGTTCTAACCTATCAGGGCCAAGCAGTTTCTTTATTAATTAACCAATGACCTTCCTCCATCACTGCATGGAGGGGGAAGGACCTTGAACATCCCACAGGGCAGGGAACCCTGACTACTCTTTGGACTGGAGAGGGAGGGGAAGAGGGATAGGGGGAGTGGGAGGGAAATGGGAGGAGGGGAGAAGGCAGAAAATATTAATGAAATAATATAAAAATAAATAAATAAATAAATAAATAAATAAATAAGACAAAAAACCCACATTGATTTGGGAAAGGTCCAAGTCCCTTCCCCCTATATTTAGACTAAACAAGGTATCTATCCAAAGAGAATGGGTTCACCAACATCCAGTAAAAGCAGCAGGGATAAATTCTGGTGCCATTGCCAGTGGCCCCGCAGTCTGCCTCAGCCATGCAACTGTCAACCACGTTCAGAGGGTCTAGTTTAGTTCTATATTCCTTCCCTGTCCAGCTGGAGTTGGTGAACTCCCATTTGCTCAGGCAAACTGCCTCAGTGGGTATACCCATCATGGTCTTGATCTCCCTGAACTCACATTCTCACTCTTGCCACTCTTCAACCTGACTTTGGGAGCCCAGGCCAGTGCTCTGCTGCAGGTCTCTATCTCTGTCAGTTTCTAGATGAAGGTTCTATGGTGATATTTAAGTTATTCATCAATCTGACTGTAGGACAACGCCAGTTCAGGCACCCTCTCTTCTCTTGCTTAGAGTTTTAGCTGGGTCATCCTTATAGATCCCTGGGAATTTCTCTAGTGCTAGATTTCCTGCTAGCCCCATAATGTCTCCCTCAATCAAAATATTTTTCCTTGCTCTTACCTCTGTCCTTTCTCCGTCTTGACAATCCTGCTTCTTCAAGTTTTTCTCCTTGTTTTTCATTCTCCCCTCCTCTTCTGCTTCCACCCTTCCTTCTCCCCCACCCACATGCTCCCAATTTTCTCAGGAGATCTTGTCTATTTCTCATTTCCAGATAGATCTATATATGTTTTTCTTAGGGTTCTCCTTATTTGTTGTCGGGGTTTCTGTCTTTCCTGGTTCCCACAGTCGTTAAGTCCCCAAAAAATCACACAGAGGTCTACATTAGCTATAAACTGATTTACTTTTTATTAACTTGTATAACTTATATTAGACCATTATTCTTATCTGTGTTAGGCACATGGCTCAGTACCTTTTTCAGCAAGGCAGCTACTTCTTGCTTCTTCTGTGGCTGGGTCATGCTGTGTCCTCTTCCCAGAATTCTTCTGTTCTCATTGACCTGCCTCTACTTCCTGTCTGGCTGTCTGGTTGTGCCACCTATACTTCCTGCCTGGCTACTGGCCAATCAGCATTTATTTAAGTTATAATTGACAGAATACAGACCATGTTCCCACACCACTTCCCCTCTTTTTTTTTTAATACAAGAACATTGTTACAAGGGAGTGGCCCCCTTGTTTGTCCCGGCCACTCAGCTAGCTTTCACCCAATATAACCACACAGAAACTGTATTAATTAAAACACAGCTTGGCCATTAGCTCTAACTTCTTATTGGCTAATTCTTACATACTAGTTTAACACATCTCCATTAATCTGTGTGTCGCCACATGGCAGTGGCTTACTAGATATTCTAACCAGCATCCATCTCAGGCAGAGTATCTATGGCTTCTCTGTCTCTGTCCTTCCTCCTCCCAGCCTTCAGTTCTGTTTTTTCCACCTACCTAAGTTCCACCCTATCAACTAGGCCAAGGCAATTTATTTATTCATTAACCAATGAAAGCAACACAAACAGAAGGAACTCCTACACCACTTGTTACTTTTCTCCAGGGTCATGGAATCTAGACTCATTTCTTTGCTTTACAGCTAGTATCCACTTATGAGCAAATACATACAATGTTCATTTTTCTGGGTCTGGAAAAACTCAGGATGGTTTTTCCTCATTCCATACATTTGCATGCAAATTTCAAGATGTCATTATTTTTTTTTTTTTTTGCCACAGAGTGGTACTCCATTGTGTAAATGTACCACATTTTTTTATTCATTCTTTAGTTGAGGGGCTTCTAGGTTGTTTCCAGGTTCTGACTATTACAATTAATGCTGCTATGAATATAGTTGAACAAATATTCTTGTAGTATAATTGAGTATCCTTTGGGTATATGCCCAAGAGTGGTATTGCTGGGTCCTGTGGGAAGATGATTCCCAATTTTCTAGATATTGCCATACTGATTTCCAGAGTGGTAATACAAGTTTTTATTCCCTCTAGCAATGGATAAGTGTTCCATTATCCACAGCCTTTCTAGCATGAGCTATCATTGGTGTTTTTGATCACAGCCATTCTGTCTGGTGTAAGATGGTATCTCAGAGTTGCTCTGATTTGAATTTCCCTGATAGCTAAGGATGTTGAACATTTCTTTAAGTGTCTTTCAATCATTTGAGATTCCTCTGTTGAGAACTCTCTGTTTTAGGTCTGTACCCCATCTTTAATTGGATATTTTAGGATTTTGATGTCTAATTTCTTGAGTTCTTTATGTGTTTTGGAAATCAATCTTCTGTTTGATGTAAAGTTGGTGAAGATCATTTCTCATTCAGAAGCCTGACTTCTTATTGATTGTGTCCTTTGCTTTACAGAAGTTTCTCAGTTTCAGAAGGTCTCATTTATTTATTTATTTATTTTTTTGTTGCTCTCAGTGTCTGTGCTACTGTTGTTATATTTAGGAAGTGGTCTCCTGTGTTCATGTATGTTCTGGTATCTTTCTCCTCCTGAGGCTAACATGGCTTCTCCCCGACTCTGCCTACTCTCTCCTCTTCTGTCTGCTTTGAATTCCTGCCTTTTCCTATTCTGTGCTGCAACAGGCCTGAAGCAGATTCTTTATTAACCAGTGGTAGTCACAGCAAACAGAGGGGAATCCCACATCAATGTCTGCTCCTATCTGAACATGAGGGTTAGAGTCTGGACCATGAAGTCTTTTTAATAATCTCCTCTTCACTGTGTCAGAGTTGTAAACTGAAGTTTTCTAGGATTCCACTTCTGTTGTTGTTCTTGTTTGTTTTCTTCCCTTGTTCTTTGAAAGCTCAACAATTTGACTCAATCTGAAGCAGGAATTTAACTTTTGGTCCTGACAGGAATTCAGATTAAGGAAAGAAGAGTTCCCTGTTCTTTTCTATAGGCCTCACAATCATGCTAGTGCCACAATCTTTTTAAAACTCACATATCAGATTTTTATGGGTACTCAAAACACACAACTCAGAGACAACATTTCCATAAAAGGAACATTTTCATAAATTTCACCTTTACTTTTTTCTCTATCATTTTTTTAAAAAAATATGTAGAGATAACAATAATTATCAGACTTATGTAAGGATAAGCAGGTGTTGAACCAGCCACACCCTGAAGCATGTGGTAGGCATTACTGAGCTTTCTGTTACTATAGCAAGTAGTTAAGATAAAGTGATGATGAAGATAAAGGTTTATTCTTCATACAATGTTTTGAGTTCTTGGTACCTTATGAATTGACTCTACTGACGTATTTCTGTGGTGGTACATCACCAAAGGAACACATAGCTGAACAAAAAAACTCCTCATTTTATGATCAATAAAGAAAATAGACAAAGAATATTCTGAGTAACAAATATTCTTTATGGCATGCTTCTAAACTAAATATTGCCCACTAGGCTCAATCTTTCTTATTCTAACCCTTCCCAATAGCACCAGGGAACAGATTTTTAACAAACATATGAGACTTTTTAGACAGGTAAGATGCTATCTGTAATTAAGTTGATCATAAAATGTTGAAAAAATGGAAATAAAAATATTTTTAGCATATTATGTTTTATGTGAATCACTTTTTCTCTTCATTAAAAACTTTATTTGATTTTATTAAAGATAACTTACTATGATACTTTTTATTTCTTCTAAAAATTGAATTCTGGTATTTATTGCAAAACTTTTAATTTGCTAATAATATATCAGTAGACATTTTAAATTACAGACACTTAATGTTTATTATTATATCTATGAGATATTATTTAAATATCAAGTCCTACAACAAAACAAATGTTTTTAAGAAAATATTTTCCTGCCAAGTTGTCTCTCCAGAGCACCTTTAATATCATTATTCCTGAGGCTGTAGATGAGGGGATTCAACATGGGGATCACCACCATGTAGAACACAGACACCACCTTGTTTTGGTTCGTGGAGTAGCTGGACTTAGGCATCATGTAGATGAATGTGATGGTTCCATAGAACAGAGTGACTGCAGTGAGGTGGGAGGTGCAGGTGGAGAAGGCCTTCTGACGGCCCTCAGTGGAACATATCTTCAGGATGGTGATAAGAATGTAGATGTATGAGACAGCTATCACAAGCATTGTGATCATAATGGCAATGCTAACAGAAGTAGTTGCAAGAGCAATAAAGACACTGTCATCAGAACAGGAGAGCTCAACTAAAGGAGTAAAATCACAGAAAAAGTGATTGATTCTATTTGGTCCACAGAAGAAAAAAGAAAAGAATGAAAGCATAAATGAGAAAGAATTAAGAAAACCACCAATATAAGATCCTATAAGCAACTGGACACAGACTTGTGTAGACATCTTGGTTGAATAATGCAATGGGCTACAGATTGCCACAAAGCGATCATAAGCCATGACAGCCAGAACATAGCACTCAGCAGTCCCAAAGAAAGCAGCTGAACCCAGCTGGATGGCACACCCTAGGTGGGTAATGGTATTTTTTTCCACCAGAAAGTTCACAAGCATATTGGGTGTGACAGAAGATGAGTAGCCTATATCAACAGAAGCCAAGTGGCTGAGAAAAAAGTACATGGGGTGATGGAGCAGGGAAGAGACTCTGATGAGAAGGATGGTGCTGAGGTTCCCAGACACGGTCACCAGGTAGATGCACAGGATGATGATGAAGAGGATGACTCTAAGGACTGGGTCATCTGTCAAGCCCAATAAAATGAACTCTGTCACTGCAGTGTGGTTCCCATCCTCTAGGAAATCCATGATACAGTGTAGCTCCTGCCAGGTCAAGGCTGTGATAGAGATAGTACTGGAACAAACTTATAAAAATGACTTCTTTTTTTAAATAACTCAGTCATGTGGTACCACAAATAAATATATCTTTCAAGGAGAACTAGTAGTTTTATTTTACAAAATTTTAGTCAGGACTCTGGGTGTACATATGTTTTTCTAGATTAATGTACTTAAATTTTTAAAACAATTTCTAGCAAACTTACTTAAAATAATGCATCTCTTGTCTTTTTAGTTATTTATACTAAAATATGTCTATGTAGATTCATAATTATAGTTTTTAAATGTGAGACTTAGGTAAATAATAAAATTTGTTAAAAATACCAAGAGATAAAATATGCAACCACAGAATTTTGTGATGAAGACTTAAATAATGGCTATTCTTGCTATATGCTTGCTAAGCAACAGGACAAGACACACACACACACACACACACACATACATGTGTGTGTGTTTCTTTATTTTCCAATAGGTACTTTGAATATTGGCAAATAGCTTAAGAATAGATATGAGATCTTGATCGAGGATATATAAACAGAAGGGAGAGTAAATTTAATCTAACCTTTTAGTAGCTATTTATGAAAGAATCACAGCGACGTTGAGAGCACATACAAATTTGGGATATACAAGAGGGCAATTTTGCAACTATGTTGTTAATACACAAAAGGTCAGCTTCCTTTGTACAATGTTCCTATAGTCTATTAGTAAAGTAAGGCCATATCAAGAGAAATTTTCTTAATAAATCTTGGAAAACTAATGCGGAATCAGTATTTTCTAACTGGACAGTGGTGGCATAAAATCACATGGTTTTCTACACAGTACAGTGGCATGTAAATATTCAAAATAGGTAGTTAAGAAATTTACCCAGGTTCTTCCTGCTTGGGACTATATGTACTCTCTTCTCAAGATTTTGACATTATATCTTCTGTTGGGCTAAAGATCTGGTATCTGTGATACTAGAACATGTGGTCAATAAGCAAAGCAGGTATGTCAGCAAAATATTACAAAAATGTCATCAAAATATTTCAAGATAGTGACTTTGGATTACCTGAGTAGTAACTTCCTGTACTTTTAAATATCATCCTGCATTCTGGATTAATAAGTAACTATAAAAATAAGAAGTCTCTAACAATGTAGGTTACCTGAATATTCAAAGGAGTTTGAATATGAAAATAGAAGTTGAATCAGTTAATTTTGGTCTCGTTCATTGCCTTATTTCACCTGACTTGTGCATCTACTAAAGCTTGTAAGTTTGGTTACATTTTCAAAGAGTAAGGAATTCTCCAATGATAAAGGTGAAATCAGTACAAATATCAAAACTTACCTCATTCTATAAGAATTGATTGTAAAGTAAAAAGGTCAAGCTTACTTTGTTTTTATTGTTGCACAGATGCCTTTTAGTGTCATTATTTGTCATCAAGGATATGTCCCTGACGAGCCTCTAGATTCCAGTGTGATTTCAAATCACTGGAGATTATTATCTCAGTCCCAGTGAGTACTGAACAGTTCATTACACACACACACACACACACACACACACACACACACACACACAACTACTTTTCAAGGAGTTTGTCAGTCTCAAGTGGTATTTTACTCTTCTGTAAGAGCTAGCATGCTTCCACTTGATATGGAAAAAGGATATGATAAAATATCTCATGTAAATATTGGTTTTAATTTTATTTCATAGTTCATGTTGCAATAGACTAAACCAAGAATACAAATGCATCACTTCTGCTTCTTTCATTCAATGTCTATTATGATTTTTACTGCTTTGCTATGAATGAAATAACAGTCTTCTGCAATTTTCTTGAACTTAGGAGATAAAATAGATATGTGATTTCCTTTCTATGTATATCTAACCGCTGTTCTATTATGCTATAGGAACAGTCACTTTTTTCTGGATAGTTTTGAACATCTTTAGTAAGTGCTCTTCTCATTGTAAGGCAAACTTTCTTTTTATTTTCAACTGTGAGTGACAAGAGTAGTAATCTTGAGCATGACTACATATGTTTAAAAGGCAATTTGACAATCGTCTCACAAGTACTTTACAGAATAATAACAGTTGCTTCTCCATTGGGGCTTATACTTTTATCTGCTGCGGTCTTTTTACTTGATTTACCAGTTGTCAGAAAGCAGCTGGTTGCATATGTGCCGTCATGTCCTATTGAACAAGTGTTCAATACTGCCTGGCTTATTGGTACTACAGTATTAGAAAGGTATCAGAACCAATCAGGACTACTAGTGACAATTTCCCCAGCATAATTTATGGTACCTTCCATCAGAATGAAATCTAACCAAAAAGGAGGGATCATCCATTTCAGTACTAGTATAGTTTCTCTATATTATGCAGCCAAGAAAAATGATATCCTCAGGGATAGGAACTTACCATCCAGCTCACATGGGAGTCAATGCAGAAGCAATAGTTTTTAGTCTTTATAGTTGTAGCACCTTGAGGGTGCTTAATTTGTCATAACTTTTATGGTTATTCCCAATATTTTTACTGAGATTTTAACCAAGCAACCTTTAGTTTTCTGGGTGTGCCCCTTTCCACTAACGCATGGTGCCATTGTATGATTTCTTTAACTCAGGTCTTCATTTTTTTACAGGTAAACTTATAAATCTGTGGGAAACCTAAAACTTAACTTTTATGGAGTAGAACTTATAAATTCTGGACAGGACTACTGAAAGTTCCCATTATCCATTCAAAGTATATGCTCATTTGATATAGAGATAAATATTTTATATTAATATCGATTTTGCTCTACTGATTTGAGGTCCATTTTGTCCATATATATACATATATGTATTTCTACTCTTTTTTAAGGTATTATGTTTATATACAGTTCATTTAAAAATGTAATATATAATTAAGAAATACAGATTTAATAAATACTCATCTATAATAGTCAAACTTTTAGTCATATTAGTTAGGTTTCCTAGATATGTAGAGATATAGTTCAGTTAGGTAGATAATCTTCAACACTTCAAAGACCTGCAGAATATGGCGTCTAAATGGTTTTAAGAACTTAGACTTTTCTCAGCTGTGAGACATGTCTGCTCCTGGCAGCACCAATTATTTCAGAGAAGTTGGTGGGCATCAAGAAGCTCATTATGGAATTTGCCTTTAATGTGACAAGGCTAGCCATCTGGGCAAGAAACTGCTCTTGCCTGTACTGTTTGATGGTATGCTGTATAAACTGGACATGCAGGACCCACTGATGAACTTTCCAAAGAATGAAATAGTCCTTTAGGGTTCCTGCTTCACAGAAGAAACTGCCAGACATTCTGCAGGACAAAGAAGAAAGCAACTGACAAACTTTGCCATTACAAGGCAGAACAGATCTTCTAATTTTCTGATTCACTGAAAAGTCTGCCAGATATTACTGGCCTATAGACTGAAGATGAATGACCCAACTTTGGGTGACTGTCCAGGCAATGAGATATCTCTGTCATCTCTGTCATAAAACTTTGGAAGTTGCTTATATGTACTTCCTGTTTACTTACGAAATATTATATCCTCCTGAGATCTTTGAAGGAATTGAAGATAGATGATTATAGTTATAATTTTCCTTAGTTATAATAAAAATAAATTAAATATAATACTTTAGACTCACACAGATACGATAGATGATAAAGTATTTTCTTTAATTTGCCAAATGTAAATAGACTAAATATTATAATTATTGCTTGATAACTGTTTTGTATATGTAATTTTACTATGTTAAAGTTAAAACATTCCTTTTTATTTAGACAGAAAAGGGGAGCTGGAGTATAATGGCCTTCTATATATGTGTTCCTTTAATTGGTGGGTGAATAAAGTTGTTTTGGCCAGTGGCTTAGTANGAGAAACAGAGACAGAGAGAATGAGACAGAGACAGAGACAGAGATAGGGAGAGAGAGAGAAGGCAGAGTCAAGAAGATGCCACCCAAAGGAGAAAGATACTAGAACATTACCAGTAGGCCACAGTCTTGTGAAGATACATAGACTAATAGAAATAGGTTAATTTAATATGTAAATTAAATTACAGTGTTGTAATTAATATAGTTTCTGTGTGGTTATTTGGGTTTGGGAAGTCAAGAAATGAAAGTAGAGTCTGTCTACACTCATTGATCTTGAGAGACTCAGGAGATGCTAGAAGAAGGAGGAGGAGGAGCAGAAAAAGGAAGGGGAGGAGGGAGAGTAGAAGAAAAAGAAGGAAAGGAAGAATTGTTTTCACAGTGTACCATTGTATCAAAAGACTTCATATCACATCTGTCAATTCCTCCACAAAGACATTGCTATGATTTGAGTGAAGCAACATGCATGGCAGTCCCTACCAAATTTAATACTCATTAATTCACAATTAATTTTCAATAGACATTTGGTCTGTTCATCGCATGGTAGTGGTTGTGTTGCCAAGACTGCTGCTCATTTTCCCAACTCCATACCTTAGTAGGCTTAGTTCAGTTCATTCTGTCTTGATCAGGCTCAGGGGGTCATGGTCAAACTCTAGCTTGATGTGCTTGTGTTTGTAACCAGTTCTATGCACTTCTCACATACTCTCCATCATCACCATCTCTCTTGTGTTTTCATCTGCCATACTTGAATGCAGAAAAGCCCCAGAATGAGTGAATAATCTCGCCTCCTAGTATACTTTCTTACCAGGGAGAAATGCACGCTGTATACTCTGTTTCTGTAATTTCCTATTTGTATGACCAACTTATTCTTTTGTAGTTGTTATGTTGTCACTAATGCCTTCCTTGAACTGTAGCTTAGGCTTTAAAGTTTTTTTTTTTTTAAAGTTGCTTTAGAGACCAAAAATCAAAGAATTCTGAGTGGGTTTTTTTTTTTTGTTTTGTTTTGTTTTTTGTTTTTTGTTTTTTGTTTTTAGAGACAGGGTTTCTCTGTGACTTTGGAGCCTGTCCTGGAACTAGCTCTTGTAGACCAGGCTGGTCTCGAACTCACAGAGATCTGCCTGCCTCTGCCTCCC